TAATTATATTAATTTTAATGAAATTGGTAAAATATTTAATTATATTACTTTTATTAAATTAAGTAAAATATTTAATTGTATAAATTTTAATTTATTATACCATTTATTATATTAAATTAACAGCCGGCCCAGAAATTTAGTGATGTGGGCCGGCTGTGGCCCAAGTGACAGCCGGCCTAGATCCTTGAGTGAGATCCTTTGATAAAGTTAAGGTATTTTGGACTTTTTCCAACTAAAATTATATTTTCACCATTTTTTATTTTATTTCTTAGTCAAAGGTCATTGTAGAATTAGACAAGGATGAAAATGTTATTTCCTTGTATTTCCTCGGGTGGGGGAAGGAGAAGAAGAAGAAGAAATGTTTTTCTTTTCTTTTCATTTTTTGTGGGTTTTCAATGTAATTATTTTAATTGTTTGATTGATGAATATAATGTTACTATTTTACCCTTTTGAAATTATATAATTTTGGTGGTCAACAACAACTTCTTGGATGAAAATTGTTCAAAAGGGCCTTACATGCAACTGTTAGAAAAGTTATGGGTGAAGGTTGTAACGATTGAAAGATTTGGGGAAAGTCTGTTAATGTTTCAAAAATTTGGGGGTTTTGCTACAATTATCCCTAAAAAAATCAACTTATAATTTACCTAAAACTAAACCTATATTCACTTTTGTAATTGAATTTGAATAATGGACTTCTAACTTTTTAATTCATGAACTTCCAGCTTCATTTAAGAACATGATACTCCAACCTTCAAGTCTTTTATGATATTTTCTAAAGTATAGATTACATTGGCGCGTGGATACATTTTCAATAAAGTCAAAAACCTGATTCCGGACTCGACATATCAAGAAATACGAAAACAATTTTTTCTTCAATTTTTCTGCCCAAACAAGAATTCTTGAATAACAAACAACCTGTTCAACTATTCATGATAAAAAAGTACAGAATTCTATTTCGGATAAGCACTGAAAGGAGAAGGAATGTTGGAATACCAACAAGCGTATATTATTGAATTCACACTACCCAATAGTACTCATTTTGGTTTAACTTGATTCTTTTTAGATAATAGTATATAGAAATAATGCTTGTAAGAAGTCCTATTAGAACCAAGAAAATAGACATGCTTATCATCTACACCCGAATTAACGTAGTTTTTCGAAAAAACCTACTATGGAACTACCGAAAAATACATTTAGCCAATGACATACAACAGAAAATTATATATGCATTTATCCAATAAAAAAAGGGGAATTGAAACATTGATTTCACTTTTGTCACGATTTGGGAAATATGCGATAGAATAGTGGAATACAATTACACTTAATCGTATCACTAAAACTATAAATAGAGT